CACACACACACACACTCTCACACACTCTCTCTCTCTCTCAAGCTCTGAATGAAAGTATATACTGGCCTCACACTTTGACTTTTTTCAGCTATATTGGACTTGTTGGTGAAAATCTGTGATTTTTCCTTTGTTTAAGCCTTGAATTGAACGCGATTTCAGGATTCTGAAATATTTAACATGGTTTTTATCTGGTGTTTTTAGCATCCTTAAAGTCAAACCATGTGCACATTCATCAGTCAACATCATAGCTGAGCATTTTCTCCTTAAACCTGCAGGCTACCAAAGACAGTCTCAAAAAACAGCCTGTTACCATCACAAACATGCCAATCCCGTAAACATGTAGGGTGGGGCTTTTTATATCATTAGTAAAGTGTTTCTGCATAAAAAAAGCTGTGGTCACAATAGACTTTGGGCATGCAAAATATCTACAGACACAGCAATGGTCATAATATGAAGTCATGCTTCTGCAGTGTCTTAAAAAAAAAAAAAACCTAATTCAACATATAATACATTCAAAATGTTAAAAAAATCATTCTAAGCCACTTTACTACAATACTGTAATCCTGCAGATTTAAAGTTTGTGTTCCTCTAATTCAGCTAAGAGCTCGGCGCTGATCTTCAATTGGTCACAATGCAAAACTATCCTCATATGGGTTTGCGTTTCCAGTCTCTCGCATTCGCGTGCGTATGTCAATGAAACAAAAAGTGAGTGTGACTGCACCTTAAGGATGTTGATTTTGGGAAGGTAGCTTTTTGAGATGGTGAACAGGAACATGGTTTGTGTAAAATTAACAACACATTATTAGCGCTTTGTTTATCACGCCAATGGCTGATGATACAGTTACCGTTATGTGACGTTGTAGAGAGTGATGTATAAAATGCATTACCATTCAGATAGAAGGACTTAAACCTGTATAATTTACTCTACAGTACCTCTTCATTGGAATCAGTGTCTGTTGCAAACATACATGACTAAGATAATATTGCCATTTGCCATTTACGACTACAGTTAACCCATTGAAAAAGGATCAGGTCTGAGCTGGTGTGATTGAGTGGAGGCGGGACTAATTTGCATATTCATTGGTCTGCATTGCATATATTAAAAGAGATATGGGTGTAGAGTTATATTCAAGCCATAATATTCCAATTATTTTCATGGGAAAAAAAAAACATTTAAAAATGTAATTTTGATGATCAAAATCTGATTTAAGGGATAAAATTATTAACTGCAGAGGGACATTCTGTGCTATTCCTCGGTCACTAATCCAATGGACTAGTTTGTGACATGTTTGTGGCATTTGTTCATACTAGCTCAAGTGCATGATGTACATTTTTTAGTTTACAAATTCACTCAAATTATATGTTTGTATAAATATTGGTCAATGACAAATTAGAGTGTCGATAATAAAGAAAATGTTGTCAAAATGTTGTCAAATCTTTCTGCATACCACAGACTGACTATTGAATCAAGACTATAAACTTTAAAACAGCACAATTCACATGGTTGAGGGACAGTGGAGTATTAATCAGTATTTGTTATTGGATACGTGAAAAATAAAGTGTGTCATTGATTAAGAAAATAAAATGTAGTTTAACAAAAAGTTTTCAAAATTTACTCTTGCATTGTAAATATTGGATTGCATTTTACAAGAAAATACAACTTCAGTCTTTCTGCTTCAAAATTTCATGTTAAATTCATTGTGTTACTTGCCATTTGTTTGTTCTTTGTAATGAATTGTGAAATTTATTAGCAATTTCTATCTGCAAATTATTCTACACATTTTTTTCAGTGTGTGTTCAAGTTGGTTTCATATGGTTTTGAAAAACATTTATATAGTTTTCAAAAGTTTCAATTTAATGATGCTTAAATGTCATGTGGTGTAACCATCAAGTAAAAAATTATGCTTTTTTAAAGTTTTTAAATCTATTCTTCAAAGTAAACAAGTATTTTTGTATGAATATTATGAATGAATTAATGAATTAATTAATTTATTCATTCATTAATATTCAGTTTTTGGTTAGTTGCACCATTTGACATATTACTACCTGAACTAACCTTTACTTGTTATAAAAATATATATTAAAAAATCATATGCTTTAAGAGATTTATTGACCTTGATACACAATTTCTGATATCATTTCCCATTTTTTTTTTTTTTTTTTTGAATGCTGGTATGTAATTGAATAATTATTGACACAATTATATAAAATAATTACATTTTATTTTAAATTGGATTTATTTAATAATTGTATAATTATAATTGTATGAATTAATACATTTGACTGCAAAAATCTCTGCGGATTAATCAGTTTACTTAATTGCATGTTGGCCTAATTTAAATGAATGTCAATATTTTGGTGATGAGCTGATGATAACTCTTTAGTGTTATGAGGAGAGGCTCTTCTTACGAGCTTGACTCATGTATTCTGGATATTTACACCGATAACGGTTTTCAAGGACATGTTGCGAGTTGGTCTATGATAGCAGTACTACACCTGGCACACCTGCCTAAGAACACTGGACCTGATAACACACTCTCTGATACACTCCTTCGCCAAGGCTAATCCATTTTTAATTGGATCAGGAACATTTTTAAGCTGTAACCTTGAGGCAGGAGGAGTATGGAGGTCTTGTAGTTGCTATATTGTGCTGAAATGGGTGCAGAGGCTTTTGAATCTTGGCTGAGTTTAGCACAATGCACTTAGTGTATATTAGATTATTTTTCCAACAGCAAATGCTGCTCTGAATTGTGTGTTGAATCTTAAATAGTCAAGTGTAAGTCCTGGTAGGCTGGTGGTTAAGGCAATGAGCAGGTCAAACACATGTTCTAAACATAGGTTCAAAACAATTCTTTGAACTAGATTTACTAAAAACCCATTTTGTCACCAACACAGTAGGTGTTACAACTTGAGTGTGTTTGTCTAAGAAAAACTTGCTTTCATAATGCTAGGGTGTTGTGGGTGGTTGCTAAGGTGTTCAAAGTGGTGTTTAGCATGTTGATATGCAGTTGCTCTGGGCTATTGCTATGGAGTTTCTTACTGACTGACATCAAGAGTCCACCTGTAGAGTCCAATTGCTTAGAAATAGCATAGTTACCCACACAACTTTACATATTCATATCTGAAGCATAAAAAGCATAGCACCAAAGTTCATTGCTTATGGATATGGGGTTGCTGAGCACTCGAAATAGTGATAGTTGCTTTAGCAAGTACTAACTAGTAATCCTTATTTGTTTGAGGGTGGTTTACCCAGTAATGTATTCAGTTATATTACAGAAATATACTGTATTTTCTGGGAAACTAAGCACTGGGTCAGAATTGCATTATTGAGAGGGGAAAAAAACACAAATAAATCACACTGGTGTATTAGACACATTTTATTATTACACTCAGAAATAATGTAAAATACATTAAGAAATTAGTCAAATACGGTAAATAAAACAAAACTTTCACAAGCATTATAAATACTATAAAAATATTTTAATTCCTCTCGCTATACACATAAACATACATTTTTATTATTCTTTATAAACAACATTTGTTATAAATGCTAAGCCTGAACAAAACTAGCAGCTCTTAAAGTTATAGTTTCTGTCATTTTCTCACTGACTTTCTTCTGTGTAACACAAAATAAAATATGTTGAAGAATGTTTCGACTGCTTTTTCCCATACAATGAAAGTCAGTGGGGTGCAAAACAACACTGAACCCCATTGATTTTTATTGTATCTTTTCATAATACTGTATTGCTTTCTCTGGTGAAAAAGTTATCTCATCTGAATCAGGAGAGTCGTGCACAGGTCAAGCACATTTAGAAGCGAAAACAGTTCTAAACTCAAAAGGATTTTGATGTGAGAGGGCCACATCGGGATGGACTTTTTCACCGGAGAAAGAGTTATAGTTTGATGAAGAAACAAACTCATCTACATCTTGGATGGCCTGAGCATGAACAGTGATCCAGCTGCATATAACATGATGTGGTGTGTGTCGTGTGCTGGGCAGGGATCGGCTTGCAGTCATCTCATTCTGCGTCTCAGGGGCTTTGTCAAGGTTCATCACGGGGTTACCCTGACAACACTAGTGGGGCCTCATGCCAGATATATCACCATAATGAAAAGGTTAGAGTTTCATAACTCAAGGGACTCTCTTGTCCAATTGCGTTTCAGTGCTTTGTCCCGTACCCCTCTTTAAAGCATTCTGGGATTTATTCTGTGGTTGATAAACATGAGATTGTGTGTTTGTGTGTGTCTCACCCCGGGAAGCCTATCATATCTACTGAGGGTCATGACAAAAACCTATTATTATATTTCATCACGGTAACCTCACAGGCTCTTTTCTTGTTGTTTTGCAAGAGGACACGTCTTAGCAGACAACAGCAGGAAGTTAATCACACACTGATACAAATTACTCTGTAACAGATGCAATGGATGCCAAAAGAGGGGGTTGTCGCTGTTATCACGCACGGATTGTCTGAGGTCGTCATGTAAAGATGTTTTAGGATTCTTGAGATGTTTCCAGGCCATAGCTAATTTAATGCCACAATCAGCACAGATTGCATGTTCGTGTGTTGAATGTCAGGTATGTGTTTGTGACATGCTTTTGATCCCGCTCTCTTTCTCTTTTCTCTTCCTTCTCTTCATGCATTGCCTTGTGTGGAATCAGTCGGATCAGGTTAGTGTTTTAAATCATTCTCTCTGTTCCCAGATGGACCCGTCTCTCTCTCTTCTGTGTGATTTATTCGTCCCAATTGATTCCCATTCAGCGATGTGCTGCCTCAGAAATAGAAGCATTCGTCTCCTATTTTTTTTGTGTTTTTTTTTTGTCTGTCGTAAACCTGGCTATATGATATGCTGTATCATCATAAAACTCCTTTTCAAGTATCATTTATAGGGAAGTCTGAGTTATTTTCAAAGCAGGTGTCACTTTTAGAAAAGTGCTGTGTGAACAGGAGTCATTGAATGAAATAACCTGGTGATATTTCATTTTACCAACTCCATGTTTATAGAAGGTTTCTTTCATCAAAACAGTGTTTATTTACCAAAACAATGTGATCAATGTGAATTTAAAATCTCTTTTACCCAAATAATGTATTTAAGTTTTAATTTTGTTTTATTATTTAAGTAAATAAGTAAGTAAATATGTAATTAAATAAGTAAATAAATAAATAAATCAAGGGTGCATTAAACTGATTGAAAATGATAGTGAAAACTATTCAATTTAAAAAACAAATGCTGTTCTTTTGAACTTTCTAGTTCAAAGAATCCTGATTTCCCCAAAAAATATTAAGCAGCACAACTGTTTTCAGCATATATGCTGTGAAAACAGTTGTGCTGCTTAATATTTATATATATTAATAATAAATGTTTCTTGAGCAGCAAATCAGCATATTAGAATGATTTCTGAAGAATCATGTGAAACGTAAGACTGGAGTAATGATGGTGAAAGTTCAGTATTTTCTCTGGTGAAAAAGTTATCTCATCTGAATCAGGAGAGTCGTGCACAGGTCAAGCACATTTAGAAGCGAAAACAGTTCTAAACTCAAAAGGATTTTGATGTGAGAGGGCCACATCGGGATGGACTTTTTCACCGGAGAAAGAGTTATAGTTTGATGAAGAAACAAACTCATCTACATCTTGGATGGCCTGAGCATGAACATTCCTCTGAGACGCCAGAATAAAGTGAGTTTTTCCTCCCACAGATTGAATATTCATCTCCATGTTCAGCGTTCGATATCTGCTAGGACTCCATAACCCAGTCTATAGGAAGCTTAGGGAGACGCAAGACGTGTTATGCATCAAAAACGACACAGTACTGTAATGGTTTGGGTGTGTGTGTGTGTTAACTAGGTTAAAGCCTGAATCAATGGAAGAGACTCTATGACTGCTGACTGTGAACTCTCATGAAAGAAAGCCAAAAGTGAAACAGATGACAAAAGCCAAATGAAACAATAGCTAGGAGATCTGCTACTTGGATATACATGGATTACATTATCAGTACACTAACGTTCTCTGTTTTGCCCTCATCGCTTTTTGAGGTCATTTTGACCTTTAAATATAGCCATATTTCTGTGCATTAGTGAGATACGGGACTAATTATATGTATGTGTCTGAAGTCCCTCATCAGCTGAGGGTCAGTACATTCATCAGCATCTCCCATGATGCCTCTCATTTACTGACACACGTTTTGCATTTTAAAGTTTCATAGATTATATGTATGTACATATTTCTCCAAGGAATACACGCACAGCTTCGTACATGTTTAATTTATCATGCAGCGATGCAGAGAAGCAAGGAAACATTGTCATATTACAGTAATGTTGTGTCATTTACATATGTATGAACTGTAAATGGCTTTTGCAGTGATATGATTACTTAAGAGTTTACAATATGCAGCATTTGTCACAAACCCAATAGCTGCAGCCTCTTTCTCCCTCTCCCTCTTAGTCGGTGCATGTGCGTTTTGTGTCTGTTCCTCATCTCTTTCTCCTGCTGTTCTGTGGTTTAATGAAATGTGCCCAGTGAGCACAGTATGAACGCCAGAGGAAATGGGGGAAAAGCAAGGGATAGGAATAGGATAAGTGGAGATGATCTGGGGTGATTAGACCTGCTTCTCAGTGGGGTGGTCAGTGGGATTTGTGTGTGTGTGTGTGTGTGTGTGTGATTTTTGTACAATCTGTGAAATTGGTTGGTGAAGGACACAGAACTTCTGTAACCTGCCTAAATATTGTCTTATATTACTGTCCAAAGGAAACAGAAAGTTATATTCACAATATAAACTGAAATAAAATAAAAAAAAACTGTTAAATGTTTCTATTTTGTTATTCAATACAATTGTTATAATCGATTTGAAAAGTTGAAGTCAAAAAACTGTCAAAGATCATAAAGGAATTTGGCTCCCAGAGGCAGTTTTGATGTCACTGGTTCAGGTACATTTTTAAAGAGACAGTCTGCCTCTCCTATTGCAGTTGAAGTGAATGGAGTCTCTGCCTAATGAGATATAGATTAAAACGCAAACTAATTAAAATACCCATTAAAAGTTTGGGAAGATGCTGCCCATGCTGAAGAAGGAAAGAGAGAAAGTGATTGAGAGAGAAAGAGTGATGCCTGCCAATAATCAGCCACAGGTCTAAGATTATTTATTTATTTATTGTCTCATTTTTTTCTCTGCCATTTAAAAAAGGGAGAGAAATAACATTCATGACAGTCCCACTAAACTTGAGTTTCAACCTCAGACATGCCCAGGTCAGAAATTGAGCATTTTTTTCATATGAATACAATGCAATGCAATGCAATGCAATGCAACAAACAAAACAAAACAAAACAAAACAAAACAAAACAAAAAACAATGGGTATGCATCATGGGTAAATGCATCACTATAAATGATGAAAATTAGCTGTTACCATTTCAGCATCATCAAAATAAGTGTACAGTAAATCTTGAATGTTAAAATCTCAAAAATGCTTTAATCAGTGGTACTGTGCAGATTTTCAAATATGGCAAAAATTTGTACAACTTTGTTTGCCTGTGCAAAACTCACCACTAAATAATGTTGTTCTGGGTGCTTGGATATGCAGTTGCTAAGGTGTTCTCAGTTAATATGGTGTTTTCTAAGGCATTACTATGGTTTCCTATGTAAGTGACATTTGAAACCCTTCTATAATAGATATATTCTTCTACGCCCAACATTTTAAATGCTCTAATATGTACATGACACACACACATGCACAACTACACCTCACGCAACTAATTACCGAATCTGTGAGGTCTGGTTCACCTGCGATATCAAATGGGTTCTCTATGCTTATTTCACAGTGGAATTTTTGCCGTATAGATTTGAATATGCAAATGAGGTAGCATGCATGATTAATGAGGCATTCCATAATGCAGATGGAACCCCCAAGAGCCGGCGAGGAGTATTACTCTACATTACACGTTCATGGAGCAGAATGGAGCTGATTTCTATGGTAATGCAAGCAACTAATCCTGTTCATTTCTTGAAGATACTTCAGCTGTTCCATTGCATCTTAAAGTCATCCTCATCGCCATCACTCCTAACACAAATAGCAGATTCAATTATACTGGTTTCTATTAACTAACCTTCAACAATGTGGACCATCAAAGAGGATTAGGTTCTCATGTGCCTCAATAATTGGCTCCTGTGTTTGTGTCTAGGACAACGGGGAGCGCTGGGACCTATCCACGCATAGAGATAATGATCAGCTGTACCATATAGACAGATGCATAGAAAGAAAAGAGAGAGAAATAATGTGAATCTCTGGACTTCGCTGTCCAAACTTCCTATAAACATTGAGCTAAACTCAAACTCTCTCTTTCTCGATCTGAACTGTGTTGCAATCAATGCTTCCACTTTCACTGAGGCACCAATTAAGGCCACACTGGATCAATCCATATTTTTTCCCTCATTTTGGTGAAAATCAGTGGGCTGCTCCAGATCAATGGTCACTGTGCTGAAGAAGAAAGATGGATTTGAGTTTTTTCACTGCACTCCAGCTCTAATTGATCTGCAGGATGAAATGCTTAGGCCACATATGATGTTGGCATGTCCATTCTTACTATTTTGAGACCAGATGATACAGTTCCTACATGGTTCTTTAAACTCTTGCTCATACTGGGAGAAAGATTGCAGGGTACAATTCAGGGATTGTAGAACCAAGGAGGTCTATAATACATGGAGAAATCTGTCTGTTAACATTCATTTCAGAATTCATTTCAGTTAAAAGAGTATGTAATATAGTACACTATATTGTAGTATGTGAAATTCAGCACTTTGAATGAGCATCCAAATACAAATGATTGCACAAATGCAGTGCATACTCTTAACAGTTTGTGATTTCAGACACATCTTAAGGGTTTGTTCCAATCTCTAGTGTGCTTTTTTGTCTATTGGTGCATAGTGGTGGCCAAAAATTATTAGAACACTAGTATTTTCACCAGCTAAAAAAATGGTTTAAGTCAGTTATTTCTATCTTTTGCTGTTTGCAGGTAGGTTTCTTGAAGCATCTTGGAGACGATGCCACAGTTCTTCTGGATTTAGTCTGTCTCAGTTTGTTCTGTTTCTTCGTGCATGATGATCAGATCAGATCTCTGTGTGGAGCACTGGCTGTTGTCAGACTCCTTGAACAAATACTAGTGTTCTAATAATTTTGGCTACCACTGTATTAAAAATTAACAAAATGTAATTTTAAAATAACATGAATTGTTATAAATTGTTCACTTTTTGCGTACATATATATGAAATGTTGATGTGCATTCCAAATAAAGACCAAATAAATGGAATTGAATAATCATGATCAGGAGAATGCGTGTTAATTTTACAGCCCTAGTACCTGAATATGTGTTTTTCTTTCTGTAGTTACAGATGCTTTCCACTTATACCAAAGAGCAGTTGCTGCAGATAGCGGAAAAGTATAATATTAAAATTGCTCCGAGGCATAGGACGTTAAAATAAACTTTGTGTAATGTCTTAAAAGGCAATCTCGTTGAGTTGGGCATTTTAAAAGGGCCCGTAGATACTTCCATTGTGGAAGAGGCGAGTGAGCAGTCGGAAGGTGCACTCGCTGTTAGATTAAAAGAGCTGGCTTTAGCAGAGAAACAAATAGACTTCGAAACGGCGAAATTGGAATTGAGAAAACGTGAAATGGATCATGACT